TTTCTTTAGGCCTCACTCAACACTTGTGCACTGGAGACCAAGCTTCTAACAGCCTGAAGGACACAACGAAGGCACAGCAACCTTTCCATTTCTAAAACCACGTAAACCCTCAGGCTCTTCAGACTCCCTTTGGAATTAGTGTGTAAGAGTTGGCCACCTGTGTGCAGCAGCGTGTGTCTGCCGGCGAGCGGAGAACTGACTTCTCTCCAGTGTTCAGAGGCTCCCTTGTTTTGGCTGATGGTCTACTCCAGGTTGGCTGGAAGAGAACTTCTCATCTTACAGTGCGGTGCTAAGATTACAGATGCGAGCCACCGTATCCATCATTTGGGGAGTTCTGAAGATTAAACTCAGGCTGCCAAGCTTGCCAGCAGTAAAAGGCAAGTGCTTTTACTCCTTGGGCCAATACTGCTTGACATACAGTTTGCAGGGCATCGGTTCTGTCACCCACATTGTCATGCCTCGTAGCTATAGATACTTCCTTTGCTCACCACTCTTTCGCTCCCCATGTACTGCCAACCGTAGATTTTCTGCAGTCTGATAGCTTCTGCTCTTATTATTCTGTGTTTTCCCAACAATCTTGATAGATCAGGTTTATAAATTTTATTGTTCTTTTCAAATAACCAGCTTTTGGTCTCAGTAAATTTCTGTGATCAAGGTTACAAACATGTATTTTTATCTTTATTGTTTCTTTCTATATGCTCCCTTGGGGATTTGGAAGAAAAGATATTAATTCTCAAATTGATTTTTTAGAATATTTTTAAATTTTAGCTTTAAAATGTTTCATTGCAAATGGTGCTGTAGCAGCTCATGTATACTTTCATACAAGTGCTTTGAGTGTGCTCCTCCCACCCACGCCGCCACCCTTTTCTCACCTCTCCTCCCTATTAGTTGCCTGAAGTAGTTTCACTTTTATGTCATCGGCACATATGTGACTTTATAGGGCCCATGAATGAGAGAAGACATGGAGTACAATTACTTCCAGTTGTACCCACTCTAGCAAGCCAGTAACTTTATTGTGGGTGAGGGCTCCTCTGCGATAGGCTGGCTTATCCACACTGGTGCTGAGCAGTACTTTAGCTCTGCTGGGAATGGGCTGCCTTAGTAAAGCGGATACTCGGGAATTCCTGTGAGGAGCTCACCTGAAGACACTGGGGTGCATATGAGTCACTTCCAGCTCTTTGAGGGACCTATGTATGGATTCACATAGGGGTGGAAGAATTTACATTCTTATTACTGTGCACCAGGCTTCTCTTTGGTCCATCTCCTCACCAGTTCTTGTTTTAACATTTAAAAGTATGTGTATGTGTTCATGAGTATGGGTGACCATGAAGATGGGGCTGGACACAGGCAGTTGAGAGCCACCTCCCCAGCCTATTTTCTTAATGACCACCATTGACAAAGGTGAGAGGAAGTCTCAATAGTGACAATTTTCCCTCTAGTGGCTAAGAGCGCTGAGCACCTTAAGACATATTTGTTGGCCATTTATATTTACTAAGAACCCTGCGCCACTCCGCTCTACTTTTTATTCTGTTGCTGTTATTTTGAGTTCTTCATATACTCTAGGTATCAATCTACTGGACAGAAAGATTTCCTCCCACCTGCAAGGTGTCTCTTCACTCAATTAACTATTTCCTTTTGCTATGCAGAAGCCTTGTATTTCACGAGGTTGCATTTGGCACTGTCTCCTGGACAACCAGAATCCTACTGGGAAAGTCCTTGCTTTGCCTTGACCTTGAGGTGTTCTTCCTTCCCTTTCCTCCAGCAGTTTCCGCTGCAGACTAGCAGCAAGGTCTTCAATGCACTGGCCATTGTTTCTGTACAGTGTAAATTACAAGGGTCAAGTTTCACTCCTTTATAGGTAGATATCTAGTTTTCCTACCACTGCTTGTTGAAGATGCTATTTTTTTAATGTGTATTTTTTTTTATCTCATAAAAAAAAAAAAAAAACAAAACAGTAACTACCTAAGTTTCCATTTGGGCTCTTTATTCTAGTCCACTGATCTGCGTTTGTTTCCGTGAGTGCTATACCATTCTTGCTGCTATACCCCCCTCCCCAGCTTAACTTAGAATTAGGATGGTGATCCTTCCAGTATTATTCTTTTTGCTCACGATTTCTTTGACTATCTGGGTTCTTTTATACTTACGTAATACTTTTATTTTAAAAATTCTGTGAAGGCGCTAAAATTTGATAGGAATTGCACGGAACATGCAGATTTTTATGCTGCTACCCCCACATTGTTTTTGGTAGTCTGTTTCTACAGTATTATTTCTTCTAATCCTTGGGCATGGGAGGTCTTTCCATCTTCTAACATCTCCAATTACCTTTTCCAACATTTCTTATAGAGGTCTTTGAATCCTTGGCTAGGTTTGTTTCAAGAAGCCTTTGTGCCCTGCTTTGCTGCTAAAGGGTTTACCACAGCTGGGACTGGTGTGTGCGCATATATGCATGCAGTGTGTGTGTGTGTATATGCGTGCAGTGTGTAAAAGTCTTCAGGGTCTCTTGAATATCATCTGACAAAAAGACAAAAAACAAAACGAAACCAAAAAAAAATCCCAAAACCACGTTGATTTCTTCCTTTCCTATTTGTATCCTTTTCTAATTCCTTGTCATTTCTTATTTTACTAGCTAAAATGTTACTATATGGAATTAATTTTTAAAAAGAGGGCATCCTGTTTGATCCTACTTTCAGTGGTAATGCATCGAGTTTCCCCCTTAATGATTCGTATTGGCTACAGAGTTGTTGTATATGGCTTTTATTATTATATTGTGGCACACTCATTCCATACCTAGCCTCTCTGATTTTGATCATGAAAGGATGCTGGATCTTGTAAGGTTCTTCTGTAGCTACAGAGATAATCATGTGACCTCTGCCCTTAAGTCGATTATTGTCATTACATTTATTGACATATATGTTGAACCATTCCCACATCTCTAGAAAAAGAAACAATCTGATCCTGGTAAGTGATCTTCTTGATGTGATCTTTAATTCTGTTTGCAAGTACTTTATTGGGAATTTTTTACATCTGTGTTCATAAAGATTAGTCTATAATTTTACCTTGATCTGGTTTTGGTACTAGGGTAATAATGGCTTCATGAAAGGCTTGGGAGACTGAGAGATGTCACCTAAGATAGCTGCTTAGTAGAACTGACACAGCATCTCAAAGCACGCACTACACATCCACTGCTACCAAAGCTACTGGACGACTTAAAGAGATCCTTCTCTTTGCAGTGAGCAGAGAGAAATTCAGAGCCGTGGCTGCATGCATTGCTGAGAATAAAGGGCACCAGAACCTAGACAAGGCCAGCCACAGGTCAGACATTAATATCCCCCGCTTAGGCTCAGGAAAGAAACACTGCAGAAGAGAGACTGGATGAATATGAAAGTGCAGGATGAAGATGGAGACTGTGAAGTATTGTTTTCTAAACAGGACATTGACAAGGGAACCAGAAACTCACAGCAATTATCCAGCTGTGTACCTACTTATCCAATTGTGTCGACTTGTAAGTCTACCAGGCACTGATGCCTGTCTCCAAACTGAGGATCACAGAGACAGCACTGATTAAACTACAGGATACCTAACAGAAACAAAACAAATAAATATGGGAAATACGGAAAAAAGGGAAGAGCATGGTTGAAGTGAAAATGGAAGAGTCTTAGAGAGAGCAAAATACACCGTATTTGCATGAAATTATGAAACAACAGTTACTAATAAAAAACCACTGAAAACAAACCTAATGAAAAGCTTTCCCCTTCCTTCAATTATGACTGACCCTCCACCCTCTAACCTGATGGCTGGCCTTTCTGTGTAGACAATGCCCATTGTGAGTTATCTTACAAGGGTAACTATCAGGGCCCACCACAGGTCAGACACTATTCAATCACTTAGAAAGTTCTAAGAACTTAGATTTAGGAAGTAGTGGGGGTCGAGGGGAGTATCCTGGAAGGAGGGAGTAAGCAACTTCTTAATTCCATAGCCCTAAGTTCATCTTCATTTATAGTCACAAAAGACTGGAAACCAACAATGTCCAAACCAAATTAAACACATATGATGGAGCACATGATATGCATGGCTACAGAATACATTACTAGGTACATAAACAAATATGTGTATGTTATAACTTGCTTTTAATACATGTGTATGTTTATACAAGCATGAAGCCATTTCTAGAAATACAAGCAAGAAAAGTTCCATGTATTAAGGTAGTACTCACAAAGGGAGACTGGAGAGCTAGAGAACTCCCACTTTAGACCCATATCCCCTTTTAAAGTGGCTATTGTGTTTTGTGGAAAAACGCATATGCTAACTATTTAAAAAAGAAATGGTGTTTTCACATCTGAGACTAAGCACAATTTATAACTTTAGTCTGTTCTTGATGCCAGGAAGGGCGCTTGTTATGGGCTACACTGAAGCTGGCTATATCAGGAGGATGTTCTCACTACATGACCCTGAGCCGCTAGGATATTATTATTTTTAAGTTTCCTGTTTTCTACCAGCTACTTCCACCTACTGTCACTTGGTCCACAAAGTGTTAACACAAAATGGGAACTGCATGTGACAACTGGAAGAACCTTCAGACTTTACACACTTGGAAGTTCCATGTAACTGAACAAAGAACAAGGCAGACACAGTGAAGCCAAGTGAACAATGTGATACTATGAAATAACTTTTTTTCAGAATTTCTTTCATTCACTCATACAAATAGAATTTTATTATTGTTGTGCTTGTGTATATGCTACGTGTAGATACATATGCCCTGGTATACATGTAGAGGGCCACTGGGCCCAGGGAAGAAAAGACGATTCATTACGATGGGGCTCCATTAGATAAAAATGACGTCTATGATACTGGGAAAACCTAGAGCTGCATGCGTACCAGCGAAGTGTTCTACCGTCGAGCTTTATCCCAGCAGGGACCTAGTAAACAACCACAGATGCACGCACACACACACACTCACTTATTTTGAAATAAGCAGATAAGCAAGTAAACAGATAAAAATATTTAAAATTAGCCAAAGTTGTAAATAAAAAGGTTCAAACAACTGGACAAATACCAACAGAGTAACTGTCAATCAGGATCTACTAACCAGGGTTCTCATTTTAGATAGGTTCTCATCGACAACCTTATAGCAGTTCTTTAATCAGGAACTTCTTAGAAAACTAGCATCCTTAATTTGGGGGCAACACACACACATACACGGCTTTATTACAAAGGATTCAAGATGGCAACTACTTACAATCCACTGCCAACATGGATTATAACAAATCCAGTGAGTATTTTGTTTTTCAATTATTCATAGAAAATTTAATCCTGATTAAGTATCCTTGGGCAGGAATTCATGGGTAGTTGATGACTGAAACCAACATTTATGTGAAATGCTTCTGTTAATTTAATCTGTGTATACAGCTTAATTATGATTGGGGATTCAACGTAAGAGAACTGAATTATCTCAGGATTAAAATTTTAGTGCAATATCACATACTACTTTTTCCTTCTTTATTTTAAATACAAAGACCTGCTTGTCCCTTCACCCACGTGCTCAGATTTAAAACCCTCTGTTCTTACAACCAATGTAAAGGATCTACAATTTTCCACACATTTATCCAAAATTCTTTCCTAATCAGGATAGAACCTGAACTAGAGCCAACAATACAAGAAGAAATTGCAGAATAACTCCACCCATGAACAAACAAAAGCTAATTCATTCAACTGTTAACATACTTTCTATTTACTTCCTCAAGTAATTTCATTTTCAATTCCTTTAAGTTGTCATATGAAAGGCCCTTTCTCTAAAGCCCAAGAAGAAGCAGCTTTAAAACCAGCACATCACAGTGAGCTCCTAACTGGACCAGCTGCCGCGCAGAAGTAAGTCACCAGAGAGTGGCTGCTGTTGAGGACCAGGAGCCCTGAGCCTGCTGCTGAGGCACTGGAAACAGGAGCGCCTGAACCCGCATCACCTAAGCAGCCTTTTCACATTTATTCCCGATGGAAGTCCTTCAATCGACTCGAAACAGCCTTCTTTTGGAAAAGTTTATTGTTTGAGTACACTCCAGAGCGTTTCTTACCTCTCTGAGTCTGGCACTGCTGAAATGCAGTTACATAAACAACATGCTCTGCTTTCGCTGTTCAGTCTTTCAGAGCAAAAGGCATGAAAAGAAGTCATTGCTTTGGACCCTTATTGCACTTATCCAATTCACTTCTTCTTTCAACAAAAATCAAGTATCAGAAATGAGGGCGACTTTTGTGTCCAGATGAGATGGTCAGTGGTAGTGTTACTGAGGAGAGGGAAGAAACTTCCCAGTACAGGCTGTGGGACAGGAAGAGTCTGTACAGAATAACCATGGAGACAGACTGGCAGAGGATGACACCTATTGTAATCACCTGGAAGAGGAGAAAGCAGCGTCTCACTGCATGCACGGACAGGAAGAGCAGCGTCTACTCTACCACGTGGCCACCTGTTCCACACCCAGTCTGCCATCACCACCTTCACCAGGGGCGCATTTCATCAAACCCATCTAACACAAAGTACGGCTTGTCGTCAGGACTGTCATCGTTCCAGGGTAAAATTCCTTTGACACTTAGCTTTCAGATACGAAAAGTAGAACAGAAGAGTACCTTTTCTCCCAAGGGTGTGCACGTTACAGCCAGGAGTTTAGGGAACATCTGGCTAATTCTGTAATGGCAGTAAAGTGTGCTCCTACCTAGACACAGAAGCCCTTGCAAAAGCCTCAAGTCACACGTACTTTTGTAGGCCATGCTCCTACTCCCCGTCTGCAAACACTAACGCAGAGCTCCACTGTGACTGCAGGAGCCGTTGGCTGACAAGGAAACAGGTACAGACACAAGCACATCAGTGCCCCCTACTCTGCAGCCTGCTAAGGCTGTGATTGTTCTGTCCGCTGTCACCAGTGCAGTAAGCCATTTTAATCATTTCTTAAAAAAGCATCACATAGCCTCTAATTTAATTCTTAAAATATGATTCTGCAGAATCATGTTGTAACCCGGAAGGGCTGTTTCTAGGCCGGGTGTTGCAGCACGTGCTTGGACTCTCTACACGTGAAGGCAGAGGCAGGAGGTTCCATTCTCAGCCCGGGGTTACACAGTCTGATCCTGTTTCAAAAGCAAAGAGACCAACAAAAACCACATTTCTAACATATTGCTTCTGAACTAATTTTTAAGTTCTGTTTTAAGGTTTCTAACTTCTACTACCAGTATGTTCCTGAGAGACTTTAAAGAGCTCAAGAGCCTTCTGAGCAGCTAAGTAGGCATCTCCTACTTTAACATGTTTTAAATACTCTCAACACAAGCATTACTTACTTTATCTCTTTGGTAGTCATTAAAAACGACAGCGATGCAGGCGAGCACTGGCTGGCATAAGAACCACAAGATGCAGCCCTAGAAGAAACAAACAAAATGAGACTGCTGTCTTTGCTCTCAGGATGCACCAGGTTAATAAAACCCCAAATCTCAGCAGTCATGGCGGCAAATACTGCCATCTGAAAGCAGGAGCACTGCAGGCCGGAGGGTGGCCTGAGCGGTCTGAGTCATATCAAACAACATTACTAACACATGTCAGGGCCGACCGACAGCAGAGTTGGGTCAGTGCTTAAGGGCTTTGGCTGTTCATGGGGAGGGCCCATATTTAGTTCTCAGCACCCAGCTGGCAGCGCACAGCCTTCTAGAGATGTGTGATATATACACATGTGAAGGTCTGTCTCTCAGGTCCTGACTCGCCTCAATTGTACTTTGAGTAAACTTGAAATAAAATGTAGGAAAAAAAATTTTTGCTATGACATTAGCACTTTTTTCTTTAACCAAATGGTTAGTTTTAGAGTATTTACAACACTACATTTGTAAATCTGTTACATAGCTATGCTACCAATGCTGTGACATAGGAAGCAAATTAATGACTAAGAAAAGCAAGGTTCAAATGTATACTATTTCTGCAAAAAGAAATGAAACCACAAAGTCATATTCATGTGCATACTGAAATAAATTAATAAATTTAGTAAAAATACTCAAGACTGATTCATAGTGGCTATTTATTTGAGGAGCATTGTAGAGGGCCAACAAGCAAGTAAGATGGGGAAATTTTACATTATGCTTTTCAAATCCCTTTCTCTACTTTCCTATGAAGTGTGGCAATGTATCTCTTTTTCAAAATGAAATCTACAAGTTTATAATGCTTGGGGCACTTTCAAGGTTGAGGAGCAAGAAAGACAAGTATTCAGTGTGTTAACACTCAGAAAAGAGTGAAATGCATAGAGGAATGCATATATTTAACTCTCTAGCCAGGAACCACAGGGGCAGGGGCACTTCTGGGAAAGGGGTGAGACCTGAGATGAGAGAGCTCAGCAGTACTCTGTGCTGCTCTAAGTGTCTGCTCTTAGACTCAGCCCCCGGGCCACATCCTCTCAGGGGAAAGGAAAGCTCCTCAGGCTGGTTAGACAACGCTGACACTCCAAAAGTACAGCTCACACAGTTAACAGCTGCTGACAAACACACATTTTTAATTCCACAGCAAAAAAGAAAAATCACCACTGATAAGGAAAACCATGATGAAGGCAAACAGGCCTTTCAGGAGTTACATGGAAGACACAGTTCCATTGGGTCTGTGAATGGTTTCCTAGCTACACCATGCGGGGAATGAAGAACCAGAAGGCTCAGAGTTGTGCCCAGCACACAGAAAACATGCGACCGCTGAGCTTCTGGAGAGGGATGGACAGTCAGAAGCCACCTGCTGCCAGCTCGTACTTTGGCAAATGTGATGTAGAAGTCTCTCTTGAGCGTGCTCCTCTCCACGCTGATGATCTGGTAGAGTCCACAGCCCAGCGACAGTGCAAGGCACACTCTTAAGATGATCAGCAAGAGCCCGGCCAAGCTGTGGTGCGAATGTGAGATGTGGTGATTGGTGTCCTCAAACTGCTCCCAAAGTAGCAAAATGCTCTGTAAATGATAATCAAACATACCTGTTTACCATAAAATACGTTTTCACTTCTTGTAAGCATCCCTTTTATGTTAGAATCACAAATGAAGGATGCCAGCATTTCTGACTGTACAGGCTGTTAACTAAGTCCATTCCTCCTCTCACTTCCATAACCAAAGAGGGGTCTCCCTGTCAAGTGACACACAGTGGACCAATAACACAAGACAAAGAGCTGCTAGTGCCATCATGAGTCAAATCCATCTTCTCTAATAAGTATAGACTTATAGGATAAACATAAACTTTCTCCTAAACCCACCTCTTTCCATCCCAATTCTACCTCACTATCCCAAAGCAAACTTGCTTGTTTTTCGAGTCTTGATATGTATCCCTGGATAGCCTGAAACTCACTATGAAGACCAAGCCAGCCTCAAACTTTCAGCAATCTCTTGTCTCTGCCTCCTTAGATCTAGCATTCTCCATTTAAGACCACTTTCAAATAGCTCAGAATTGTTGTCCAACTTCATTTTTCCTGGCAACTTCCCTAGGTAAAGGAAAACACATTTTTGTCTATTTATTTAAATTCTATTTTACCATTTGTGTGTGTGTATTTGTGCTATACTGTGCATGTAGAGGTCAGAGGAAACTTTGTGGTTCTTTGTGTGTGGGGATTGAACTCAGGTGGTTAGGTATGCACAAGCCGTCGTCTCGTCAGCCTGAAAACCCATTTTTATACTGGGGATAAGCTTCCCCGGGCAATGTTACATACCTTCCTTTTCTCCTGGGCTCCCTGCCATCTTGTTATTTTGACAGTAAAAGGTGTAGCATGTCCATGTTCTCCTTATGCTGTCCCATCATTGCTGCCCACGCTGCCTCTGACCCCACTAAACACCAAATGCTTAAATCATTGTAACCTTTTTACCATCAGATATTCTTTTGGGCTTCCTATGCAAACTCAGCTTTCAAAACAAAAGTCTTTAGTCACTTGAGAAGACCTTTGGTAAATGAAATTCCATATTAAATCTAATTCTCTGGCTGGGCACGGTGGCTCCTGTAGCTAACCCCCACACAGGCAAGGTGTGGGT